TTTTTTTTTTTGTTTTTCTCGATTTTTTTGAAAACTGTTGGAAAATTCGTGATAAGTTACCTGTGACTTATAGTTTTGTTTTTCATGAAAATCATGAAAAAATTTATGTTTAAAAATAAATAAATGAGATTAAATTGATGTTATACTTATGTTGTTAGGTTTAGGTATTTTATATTGATATTTACATATATACACATAATATATTAACCTATATTATAATGTACTGTTTTTTATTTTTTAATATCTGGTCACCATAATACCTATGAGATAACTTTCATAATTCTATTATTATTATATTTGTCAATTTGTGGAGGTAGCCAACTCAAAGGTGTAAGTTACTGTTCATTCAGTTCATTGCCACACCAACCACACCTAAACAAATTTAATTCGGTATCTAGGGAACTCATCAAAAATTGAGCCTATACTGCTTTCGAGGTTTTATTTTAGGTTTGGGATCTTGTGAGCATATACTAATTTGTGTTTACTGCAGTAAAGTACTTTCGCTGAGCTTAAAAACAATTTTTAATTTTCTTAGAATGAGGGGGAGGCCTGGGGCATATAGTGATCAGACTTAATCATATTAACAAAAAATCACTGTAATTCATCACAAACACCTAACAAATAAACTATAAATGTTACACTCCGACCAATTTCGACCAACGTCAAAACCATAGGCGTAACTAGACCTTAAAGTTAGGGGGGGGGGGCTTCAGCCCTAGAATTTTTATGATAAGTAAATTAAGTGGGGGCTCCCATGACTCAAGACATCGTAGTTGCCTTCAGTCGGTCAGTCCTTTGTCAGGCAATCAAAGAAAAGAAAGAAAGAAAGCCTCAACCAATTTGCGACACATGTCACAAAGCATCAACCACCAAACACATAAAGGTGGAGTTTACTGTAGGAGTACATTTTTGTTGGTATATTTCAACWCGCGATGACCTGAACGGCAGTAGCTCAAAGAAAATCCAACCACAATAAGCATAGTACTTTTAAGTTCGTACCACAAAACATTATACAAAATAATTAATTTAAAAATGTCTTTGATAAAAAATCKTTATATCATAATTTTGTTTACT